AAACGGGATGATGCTTTTATTTTGAGGCATAATTTATTGAGAAAATAACTATAGTGTTTATTTTAATAGTTTGTTTGTCCTTTAAAATAGGCTTCATTTTTAGAGCAGTTTTGGGTTCACTGCAAAATTTAGTAAAAGGTGTAGAGATTTCTCATGTACTCCCTACCTCCCCAAATGCATAGCCTCCCTCAGTTTCAATATCCCTTGCAGAGTGGGATGTTTGTATGGTTGATGCACCTACTATGACACATCATCAACATCCAAAGTCCACAGGTTACATTAGGATTCTCTTTTGGTATTGCACATTCTATGGGTTTCCATTATTATAGTATCATATAGAGCAGTGGTCAGCAAACTCATTAGTCAACAGAGCCAAATATCAACAGTACAACGATTGAAATTTCTTTTGAGAGCCAAATGTTTTAAACGTAAACTATACAGGTAGGTACATTGTTATTAACTTAATTAGGGTACTCCTAAGGCTTAGGAAGAGCCACACTCAAGGGGCCAAAGAGCCGCATGTGGCTTGCGAGCCGCAGTTTGCCGACCACGGATATAGAGGATTTTCACTGCCCTAAAAATCCTCTGTGCTCCACCTATTCATCCATCCCTCCCCTAAACCCTGGCAACCACTAATCTTTTTACTGTCTTCATAGTTTTGCCTTTTTCAGAAGGTCAGATAGTTGGAATCATAAAGTATATCGCCCTTTCAGATTGCCTTCTTTCACTGAATTAAATTGCTGTTAAGTTTTCTCTATATATTTTCACTAGAGGCCCGGTGCATGAAATTTGTGCTCCAGTACAGTCTCTAGGCTTGGCCTGTGATTAGGGCCATCTTCCCTAGCTGCCTGCAGCCAGCTCCACCCCCGAACCCCCACCCCCTGTTTCCTGTTCACCATCAGGTGATCAGTGCCAGATGGCCAGGGGAAGGGACCGAGAGGTCAGCTGTTCCTGCCCACTCGCCGACCCCACCCCTGCCATGGGTGGCCATCAGGCAATTGGAGTCTGCCAGCTGGGGAAAGGGACCAAGAGGTGGTCAGTGCGCCTCATAGTGACTGGTCCAGTTGTCGTTCTGGTCATTCTACCATTGGGGCCAATTTGCATATTACCCTGTTATATAGGATGGCTTGGTAGCTTATTTCTTTTAGCACTGAATAATAGTCCATTTTCTGGATGTACCACAGTTTATTTATCCATTTACCTACTGAAGGACATCTTGGTTTCTTCCCAGTTTTGGCAACTATGAATAAAAGTTCTATAAATATCTTGTGCAAGTTTCTGTGTTGCCATAACTTTTCAACACCTTTGTGCAAATACCAAGGAGCTCAATTAGTGGATCAAATGGTAAGAATATATTTAAGTTTTGTAAGAAATTGTCAAGCTGTCTTCCAAAGTGGCTGTACCATTTTGCATTCCCAGTGATGTGTAAGAGTTCTTGTTGCTCCAGAGCCTCACCTGAATTTATTGTTATCAGTATTCCTGATTTTGGTATAATTTATTTTTTTAACATTTCATTTTTATTACATATATAGCTAAAAGGTGCTGTAAGTTAAGGATTCTAGATTTTTTCTTTCTCAAGTATTGAGAAACATAAATGTGAAAACTCAAGAAACATCTGTGGTAATACCAATAAAGTTATACGTGTTGTTGTTGTTGTTTTCCTGGAGTTCCCAGATGTAGAACCAATTTATTTTCAGAAAGGGAGCCGAGGAGCAAAATAGACCTAGCCACCTCTTGACTCACTGACAATAGCTCTTACTACTTGAGCCTTCATCTAGCCATACTTTATTTTGAATGAAAAAATAATTATTTTACATTTTTGACAGGACTTCTGAAAAGTAAAAATTTGTTTGAATTATTTGGTGTATTTAAAAACACAGATATAAGCCTTCTTATTTGCATCTTGGAGAACAGGGGCAATCTGAAGCGGGCAGAAGCAGTTGGGGTAGAGGAGGTTCAGTAAACCTGGTGGCCGACTTTCAAGAGACAGCACGTCTGGGCCAATACCTGTTTTCTGTTTGAATTTAAGTGATCTGTCTTGTTTAGAGACCTAACTATGCTGTTTTTTTGAAAGTCCAGTCAAGTTCAGTTAGCAATGCTGTTGTCACTTAAATTTCTGGCTTTGGATCATAGATCTAAAAGAAGAGCAGCTTCAGGAAATGATTCATAATGATAGACCTCCCATTTAAAAAAATTCAAATAACTTTTTTTATGTTTATTTAAAAAGTACACTAGATTTCTTAACAATAGATGATTTTATCTTATCACAGGACAAGAAATGCCTGATGATTAAACAAAAGAAAGATATTTAGAGTCTTCAGGGAATTGAATTGTTGATCTTGAAAGATAAATTCCCCAAACTCTTTGTTAATGTCTCTTAGCATGTTAAGATCCTCAACTTTTTTATTTCTTAAAAAAAAGATACTTAAACTACTCTTTCAAAGATACTATATTTTTTAGTGTATATTTTTATCACTTTTTTCTTTGTTTTCGTAATCCCACAAATTCTTCAACACTTCACTTGTTACATAGTTAACTTCATAAGGAATAATGAGAGTAATAATTTCTTAAATATTTTTATCATTGTTGAAGAATGTGCATATTTATTTAATTAGAAAGCATAGTGTCTGAAAACAAAAATAAAAAATTTTAACAAAAAATAGGATAAACAAGGTAGGGAGCTTTTTCCACTTAATTTTTCAACTAAATTTTTGATATTTGATTCTTGAGTATTCAAATAGATTGAGAATTCCAATGGCTTTGCATTTTTACATTTAGAAAACAGCTACACTGATTTTGTTAGATGTCTATTGCTATCAAAGCAATAGACATCTATTTTCTGTGGAGGATTTGTTTCTTCCTTGTCTGTATGCCACTATAAAATCACTATATCTTGCTGAAGTTCCCCTGCTACATCTTTATTCAGCTAAATAAGGTAGGAGATGCTTAGTCAATTGAGCAAGCTAATTGACTAAAAATATCTTGCTATCACAAAATAAGTATGTACTGAAAAAATGAGTATCTCATGTCCATTGTTAACTGTATATCTCATGGTTGGCTGCCTTTAAATTAAATAATTCACTCTTACAACTGCAAATCTGCTTCCACATTTCTTTCATTGTTTCATTTGAGTGTATTGAAACCATTTTTATTTTCACAAAGGGAGAAATAATTAAAAACCCTGGAGAATGCTTATTTTGTTTATGGTTTAATAAAATTGTTTTCATTTCAACAAAGCTGGCATTTAAGAAGAGTGATCATTTCTTAAAATCTGGGTACATTTAGTCTCTTGAATCCATTGTTGAAAATGTATAGAGAAGACTAATATTGACAATGAGATAAAATAAATTTCTATGAACTATTTTATAAGTTCATCCCAGAGTCAATAGAAAGCTTATAAAAATGTTTCATATTTTATATGGACATCATATATATCATAAATTCAAAATAATAAATCTAATGTGTTCAATGGTTAAAATTCAGTTTTATCACAGCATGCCAATGACAAGATGTCCTTATGTAGGTTACTTCAGATATTAGAGTGGCTTTAGTAAGTAGAGGTTAGCTTCTGTGGTTGTTAAGGCTTTGTCCAGGAAAACACTGATTCCAAATGCTCTATTCTCCTCTTGGATCGCATATTAGGTTATGTGTACTAATTTTGGATTTTGGATATAGAATCTTTTTATTTATAAAAGCCCAGTTAGAAACAAAATCATGTCAATCATGTGATCAGTTTTCTGTCTTCAGAATTTGAAAATGTGTATAAAAATATGCCCGAATTGATAAGCACCACCGAACAGTCTCATCTCTTTATAGACACAGCTTTTATAGCTTGCTAGTGCCTTCATTAACCTACATGTCAGGTCCATTTATACTTTATGAATTGCTGTAAATCAGTCATAGTTTTATATGTTTCTCTGAAAGAGAAAATCTTAAGAGGCCAAACTTACCGATTTTCCCGTGTCCATACTTCTACTTCTGCTGGTCTGTGTTCTATAAATGATTATAAAGCTCTGACTTGTTTAAAACTCCAGTGGGAGAGCAGAAGATTTTAGTGTATCTTCTTTAGTATTTTTGTCTTTTACATGGTATGCAGGGTCAGCTAAAGGGAATACCAAGCACAGAAGTATATTTTTATATTTAATTTATTGATAAAAAAATATTGCTTCATACAAGCTGCTAGATAATCTTCAAGAGACAAGAGAAACAACTGCCAAGAATTAGACAAGGCCTGGGCTGGCCCTATTTTATTGTCTATTATAAATTTATTGTCATGTTCTTGATTCTTAGAGTATGATACTTTCCTTAGAAAAAATTGCATTCCACTGAACAATAGTTTTGTGCCAAGTATATGCTTACCTCCTTACAAACAGGAAGCAATTTTTTTTTCTCACCACGATTCTGCAGGATAATAACATTAAAAATAAGAAACATTTATTGAGAGCTTATTTGCTCACCATTCATTGTTTTAAGTAATTTGCATAAGTTAACTACTTTAATTTTCATTATGAAATAACTGCTCTATTATCATCCTTGTTTTACAGGAAAAGAAAC